GTACTTTGCCCAGACGACGTAGAGGTTTCCAAAACGGCCCTGCATGTACTTGCGTTTGTGATTTGCCCGTGAGTTCTCTTCACAGGGGAGTCCACTTACATCCAAGTCCACAGGTTTCAGCAATGATCAGTGGCCCCCGTGTATGTAGCAAAACTGGCTTGAAGACATCATTGCACTGTCGATCTGGTGCTTCCGTGACTCGAAATCAGCATGTTCATTGAAACTACTTGGTGGGATTTTCTGAACCACGTCACCAAAAACGTGTGGGCAAGGCTTGAAAGTTCCAACCCATTCATTGACCCACTTGATGTTGTCAAGAATTGCTTGCCGTGCTTGAGGGCTGAACTCCTGGGCCAGTAGGGACAGTGACAACTGATAAAGTCATGTCTTTAATTTTTGTTCAGCCACACAAACGATTTATATATTTAAATGGTGAGTGGAAACAAACAGTGACTGGAAAAAAAAACAAAGATTGTAATGTTTGAATCACAGAGCCAGATTCATGGCACCGTTCACTTAAAATATTGACCTGCATGCCACACTCCGATGCATTCACAGTCTTCTCGATTAAAGCTGCGCAAACTTCAGCTGTGAAGACCCCACTGCAGGATGAGGACATCCTATGTGCTTGAGTTAGCAATGAGGCCTGGACCAGCTTTTTGTGGACGACTGGGATCAATCAAGTTTTCAAAAAAGGAAATGAATGTTACTATTACTGTAACACAATCAGAATAATAGTTTATAATTGTGGGATGTTTTGATACACTGGGCCTTCAGAGTAGAATTTGGGACCATGCGACGAACGACCTCCCACGCCATCTGCAAGAAACGCGCAGACATTGACAGTGGTGTATCATCTTTTTGAACCTGGGCCGGCAATGTGGCAAGGAATGAATGAGTTCAAAATTACAGCAGTATGGTCGATTTGAAAATTGTTATATTATCATAATTTTTGGGCATTTGCATCCCACAATTAAAATATAAAACCACCCCTGCCAATAAGAAGCTTCAAACGGCGCTGCTGACATGACAGAAGTCTGTGTCGGCACAGGCTGTTCATCTCCATGATGTTCTGATTGGCCACTGGAGTTGACAGTGATCCGAGACACTGTCAATGAGGCGGACTCCATGGCAACTAACTAACTAGGGACATCGGGAGTTAAAAGTGTTTTTCATAAATCCACTGATGTGATGTGATATTTTAACCTATGTGATGGTCCAATCTGATGTGGTCAATCAATCAATTAATCCGGCAGTGTCTCTTTGAACTTTGAACCTTCGGTTCTCTGCAGAAGGGCCACGCGAGTTCTAACTTGGTTTGAGGTTTGACATTGAATCCTTACCGTCAGTTCATCCCCATGTCAGAGCTTTAGGTTTCCAAAAACTCAACCCTGTATTGTTGCATATATATATAAATATATATGTATGATTTATGATTCCATATGAATATGAATATGATTCTAAAGTTATTGGTAATATCATCCTCCGACCAATCCAAGTTAAGTTCCCCGGCAAGAGGGGCACTGTAGGCCCCTTGATTCAGCAGCGGTGCCACAATGTAGAACAACTCCGTTGGTTCGCCGGCTACATCTGATCCATCGAAGAGGATCTGGCGAGCAGCTGACATACATCGAGTTGGTCAGTAGTTATGGGAGGTAATGGTACGTGCGCATGTCATGTGGAACTACTGCATTTGAATTTTCCATGTGTGTTTGATTATGCGAGAAAGAATCCAACTCTATTGTTGTAGTGTTGCACAAGAGAGGAAAAATTGGGCCTTGAAGTGCTGTTGGCATTCCAATGCACGGCGGGCAACAGCAACAGCATTCACCTAGGATCGGTCCAACCATGACAGGACTTCATTCATATGTTTGTCATACAGATCCAAGCATGTAAGAATTGAAGTCCCAGTGTTGATGACTTTGTTGAGTACTTTGCGAAGCTCCCCTGAATTGAACCACTCCCATATACCTGACATTGACAGAGCCAAGAAACTGCCACACGGCAACTAAAAGATGGGACAGAAATGTGGCTTCCACCAACTCGATCCAAAGCTTTTCGAACGTACCGCTCCTTAGTCCGCCAAGAGAAAAAATGCCATGTTGTGACTGGGTGAGGCAGGTGTAAATAATATATATATACACACACTGTATATATATATATATTTATATTATATTATATATAAATAAGTGTGTAAATAACAGCTGTTTTAACTCCAATATGAAACATGAACGACCATACATGTCAAAGTAAGGCTGTTGTTATACTTGTTTTTTGGAAAATGATGCTGGTCATTTCAGCCTAGACTCTTGTTGGGCAAAAAGCATCTCCATTGCATTTGAGACAAACCCCCATTTGATTTCCTTGGGCACCCTCTTGAATTTCATCCTCACTGACGGGTCCAAGCTAGTAGTAATATGTGTCAGGTTTGACTCGATCAATGCAGCCAGTTGAGTCAACACACTCAAAGCTGAACGTTCTATGACCTGTTTTGCCCAGAGGATCTCCTTGTTTGCGCGTTTGTTTGCCACCCAAGCAGGGAAATCCAAACTGAACGCAATCCAGTCAGCTAAATGGATCTGCCCTTCAACTGGGTAGGATGTGACCCAAGGAATGTTGGGGTTAGACAAGTCGTTCAACCATGTCATCTGTAAGTGGCGCTGAAAGAATTCCTTTGTCCATGGAACACAGGCATGACCAGTGGACATTGTTTGGGTCTGCCAACCACCCACACCGTCAGCATCACACATCAGAAAGTCCAGAGTAGGGCTGCACACAGCCAACCGATCAACGAAAGCCTTCAAAAGCTCAAAAGCCCTTTGTCGAAACTGCACACCCCGCTTCTGCTGGGAAATCATCAAACCAATGTAGGCAACCATCAGTGAAGTAGGCATAGTTGAGGCTGTGGCTACATCCTTTGAACTATTGTCACCTGTGATGTTGGGAACCTGTATTCCAGGCCATAATTTCCGATGGAATTCTTCTGCATGTGAAAAACGCTGTTTCAACACTGATCTTGCCCTTTTTGGATTGGCGGTTTCCAAAAAGTTGTTCCCAATCCCAGTGGTTATCCACCGACTTTGTTGGCTGCCATCTGTCGCCGGCAGCACCTCCAGTGAACGTCGCCCAGTTGCATGGCCAAAATTGAAAGAGCCTCAGCCAACACCAAAGGAAACTGACATTGAAGGATTTGTTTTCTTAAGGAATGGAAAAGAAAAAACCGTTCACATATAACCAAAGTGAGTGCTGGTAATTGATGCAATGCAGACAGGGAACGGGCCACATCATGAGCAACTGCCTCATCCGTGTCGTCCATTTTCCTCAAATCAATGATGGAACACGTGCCTCAACTTAAACTACAACACTTCAACAACAAAATATCCCCTTACCTTATATATACAGCTTCTTCCTTCAATCTCATCTCAAACATTCTCAAAAAGACTCTCCGACACTTGACATGCAGCCAAGTCTCAAAAATGAACATTGACCATGTCAAAAATTGACATCTTGAGCCCAAACAACAGCAATGAAAAGTCTTGAGAACCATTGAGCTTCATTAAGCCTCATTGAGTCTCAAATCCCCCTCAATGAGACTCAGTAAGCCTCAATGATGTTTAACTTGGGTTTACCCTTTGGAACCTGAGCGAAACTCACTTTGACATATACCCTTTGGGGTCTCCCCCTGGGACTCCTATCAATAACTAGATAACTGAACCTGCACCCCCCAGTAATATCAAATAATTGGATGTGCATACCAGTTCGCAAACGGGTAACAATATGAACTGATCCAGTTACATATGTGCCATATACCCCAGAAATAACAAGGGGTTATTAACCACTAGCTGGGATGCAGCCTCGAGTAATCAACCCAAATGACGAGGGGATTTACATCTTTGCCTTCTCTCCATTTATGTCGGGGGTAAAACAGTAATAAACCATCCCCGAAATCACCTTTTTCATAGGTGGTATGGTTACCATTCCCAAATTGGTTGTTTATTATTGCTTTACCCACATTACTATCATTAACTTTCAGTAACCATCATTAACCATCATTAACTATCATTTATTAACCATCATTAACCATCAGTTATCAACCATTATATAGGGTATATAAATGTATACTCATACTCCAAACATGGATCCGAATCAACAAGAGCAAGAACAAGAGCTTCGGAAAAAGTGCAGCACGGGGGAGCACGCTGACCGCGTGGTTCAGCACGGAGCATGCCGGTCCCAAAAAAAAAGTCAAAACCAACCCCAAAAAAACACAAAGATGTATGTGTTGGATTTGAATAGTGCAACATGTAGATTAAACTCAAACATCAGGAATTACTCAGGCAAAATGTATACAAACTGGTGTGCACTTAACAACATTTTTCACAATTCCAATTCTGACCCACCAAAAAGAAATGGCCGGTACAGTAACGGCGGCACCAGTTACTCTTATGATTATAAATGTGGTTATCATTCGATAAATGGGGTGACTTACTGACTTACCAAGGGGCCATACATGTAACAACCATAGTGGTTATGGTTGTGGGTCTATAAACACCAATAACTATAGTTGTAAGTATCATACACAATACACATATTACCCTCTGGTAAACTAGCATAACTATGGAAAATCACCATTTTGATGGTAAATCAACTATAAATGGCCATTTTCCATAGCTATGTTAAATTACCAGAGGGTATAATATAATTTAGGAATTTTGTAGTTAGTATTCCTGGTTACTGATGGATAGTAATGGCCAATAACCATCCCTTCCCCTATTCATATCAAACACCCCCCAACGAAACCATGGTTGAGTAGGGAATTTCCACATTCCATTGGGACCATACCCTCTGGTAAACTAACATAACTATGGAAAATCACCATTTATAGTTGATTTTCCCATGAAAAAATAGTGGTTTTCCATAGTTATGTTAGTTTACCAGAGGGTACTCAATATGTGTATATGTGTACAGTTGCTTGCGAATTCCACGCTGGGTTTCCCCGACGCAGGCGGTGCTGGAGGCTGTTGGTTTGGAGGCGCCGGCAACGTTTGCTGCGGCGTTGACGAAAAGTTCGGTGGCGGGAAGAGGTTGGGAGATGGGGTTAAAATAATGGGAAAATCGTGGGAAAATCATGAGAACATATGGAAAATCATGGAAAAACCAGGAAACATGTTGGTAAAAAGCTTGGGAAAATCATAGGAAAATCAGGACAAACAATGACAAGGGGAGAATCATAAATATCCTGGGGATATAATGGGAGACATAAGTTGATACAACCAATAAAATGCTGTTTGGGGGTTGAGATCATTTGTGATAAGCAGTTAACCCGTATATATATACATATATATATATATACAATATTCATCAGTTGCAGAATAGTTAGACAGTTAACTACGCATAAACTCAAGGGGTTCAATGTGGGTTTCATTGTTTTGCAAGGAAAAATGCACCACCTCAAAAAATGGGTATAGATCAGGCATACCATAAAGTAGAATGGTCACTACATGTTACCAGAAACGACCAACATCTGGCAGTCTGGTGTGCTTCTACTTCTCAGGTGGTGCCCCCTAGTTATAAGTTGGTTTATAACCCCCATTGACTATAGTTATCTCATGTTAAAAATAAACCAACAAACATCTATAGTTATAAGTATCATAAACCATAGTTAGCCTAGTTATAAACCAACTTAGTTATCTAAAGGGCCCCACCCTGGTACCTTGAATTCCATTTAAACCATCCCGCCTTGTCGTTCAGAGACATGTCTGAGAGCTGCCACACCTGCACGACATGTCTGAAGGCCGCGCAGGAAAGGGATCATCCCACGGAAAAAAGTGGCGATTATAAGCCTAGCTGGTAAGTCCCTCTTCAGTGGGATTATCTCATATATGTATATGATATATATATATATGATATATATATGATACATATATATATGTACATCTATCTATAGTTATATATATATATGGTTTAGAACTATGATTGCTAACTACTTGCGATTCGCGAGATGATCCTCCAAACAATGCACTCACGCATCTGGTCAATTCTGGTACAGTATAGTGCACCCCTAGTTGACTTTGACTAAGTTGGTTTATAACTGACATAACAAGGATTTATGCTGGATATATATATATATATATACCATGGGATGTAATATATATATATATACATACATATACATGTATAATATATATATATATAATGGAAGCTCTAAACCAGCAACTGAGGGAGCACCGCAGCACTACAGTGTAGAAACCATTAGAAAATATAAGAAACGGTTGAGTTACCACTATTTCAGTGGGATTTTACTTCTCTGCATCTTTTGGGAGATTTCTGTTCTTGGTAAACCATCCATTTTCGGGGAGGCATTGGTTTTGTGCGGCACCGTTTGCGGCAGGGTTCCACCGGCTCATCTTCAACACTGCAATCACGGTCCACGTCTGCTCCAACCCACTGTAGGCATGGGTGCAAGTCCCTCGCCATTGGTGCAGCACGTGCACCCGCACGCATTGGCAAAATCTTCACTGTCAGAAAATTGCACCACAGAAGAAATTCGGACATCTTATCTTCTGTCACATATACCTCCAAAATATGGCTGTACATGGTACAGTACCTCCAGTTTAGGTACCTGAAATGGCCATTGCTGAAAATGGTGGAGTATATACAACAATGTTTGAACAAGAATAATTTATTGGGGTGATTGGGATGTGCATGGATGTGCATAGTTTAGTATTGTTCTGTGTCTCTCAATTTTGAGTGGTGATTTCATGGACATAACCAAAATCATAAGTTGGCTATAACCCCTGCGGCTATGGCGGTTTCTTACTATATTCATGAATGCAAATGTGACCGTCTGACCTACGGTCCAAAAACAAAGTAGGATAAGCAGTCGGGCTATAGAAACCGACTTTCAGGGTTTCTAGATGTCCGTCATCATGTTTTTGTGGGATGAAAAAGGGAACACTTACTCGCAATTAGAGCAGCTTTGAGCTGAATAATGTACGATAAACCCAATAAACATCAATAAACTTTATTCAATAAACCATCCCCAAGTTATCACCTTTTTGATGAGGCGTATACACAATCCCCAAATATCCCTAAATTTTAAAGGAGCTTTACGGTGGTTTACGGCTCAGCCCAGGAAATGGATCCAGCTTACTTCAGCCCGCCGTGATAGTTTTAAGTGGACACTGCCCCTAGAAAAAAAAACGATGTTTATTATTGAACGGTTATAATTAACCTATTTACATCTATTTACTAGGATGATCCATTTATAGACTGGTTGGTGATGTCAACCCCTCTGAAAAATATTAGTCAGTTGGGATGATGAACCACCTTCAGCACGTTTTGATGTTTGGCTAAGTATAATGACATCAATAGCTCCAAATAATTTAAGGGGCTGATTGTGGGCCGCCTTGCAATTTTGATTGCGCAACCCTCAGCATTGGTTGGCTGCTTGGCTCATCATTTTTTTTGAGGCAATGATTGGTGGTGTCGGTTTATGTAATGGGATTAATAATAATATATATATATTATATATACACATGTTTTGAATCAACCCGCTGAAATGATGGTTATGCATTGAATATTACCTCTGGGAATGCAACCAACAAGTCCCATGTTTCGGAACGTTGGCCTGGTTCGGCTGCTTCCCAGCGTGGTACTGCCATGATGGCTAGTCATGTCCAGTATCATTCGTCCCTGTCGGAGAATGTTGGTAAAACTCAGCTGGGATTTTTAAAAAATAGTACTGCAAGACACACCATTCATCTTCCAATCTCACATGTTCTTCCCAACCAAACAAACTGGCAAAGAAAAAAATCACTCATTGGAACCAATAGATATAGGTGATTGTCCCTTTGATCTCAATATATGCGGTTTTTTGTTGCCATACGTAGCCCTTACAGCCCGAAAAAAATGCCAGCTACCTCCAAAATTGAATCTTTATAGCTATTGACATAGGCCCTATACCAACCAATCAATGGCCCTTACAGAGGCCTTTTTTGGTACCTGAAATGGCCGGTCAAATCACCCCCGGCGGCACCATGTCCAGGTATTGCTGTTGCGACTGGTCCGCCTGAGGCTGATCCGTGGAAATAGCAACATTTTTAAGGATTCCCGAAACTGGTTAATAAACTATACCCTCTGGTAAACTAACATAACTATGGAAAATCCCAATTTTCAATGGGAAAATCCACTATAAATGGTCATTTTCAATAGCTATGTTAAATTACCAGAGTGTAATGGTGTTATTTCCACCCTGGAAATTGATGAATAAATGGTGACAACCCACACACTAGTGGAAAATTGATAATGACAACTTTCAACCCTGGATTAACAAACCCCGTTTACGGCTAATTGGGGGTACAATTTAAGTATCAGAGTTATGACAAGACTGGAGGAGTACCCACTGAAAAATTGTCAATTGCACCTAATGGTTTGTAGCAAAATCCCGGACAATCATGGTGAATCATGGTGAATCACTGAATCCCGGATCTATCATGATTTTTTTTGAAGCTTGGATGGCCTGGATTCCTGGATTTCCCCATGTTGAAAAAAAATAAATTACTTTACTTCGTGTGATCCCCACCATGACATTTTTACATGTTCTTACTGGCACATCTTCTGGCATTCTATCTGACATATCTTCTGACATTCTATTTGGCATTCTATCTGGCATATCTTCTGGCATATCTTCTGGCATTCTATCTGGCAAATCTTCTGGCATTCTATCTGGCATATCTTCTGGCATTCTATCTGACATATCTTCTGGCATTCTATCTGGCATTCTATCTGCCATATCTTCTGGCATATATTCTGACATATCTTCTGGCATTCTATCTGGCATTCTATCTGGCATATCTTCTGGAATATCTTCTGGCATATCTATCTGGCATATCTTCTGGCATATTTTCTCGCATTCTACCTGGCAAATCTTCTGGCACTCTATCTGACATTTTATCTTCCTACATGAGGTCCGGCAGGGAACACTTGGCGTGGATACTCGCGGTTGAGGTCCGGCAGGGAACACTTGGCATGGATACTCGCGGTTGAGGTCCGGCAGGGAACACTGGGCGTGGATGGTCGTGGTTGAGGCCCGGCAGGGAACACTGGGCGGGGATGGTCGTGGTTGAGGTCCGGCAGGGAACACTGGGCGTGGATGGTCGTGGTTGAGGTCCGACAGAGAACACTGTGGATCGCGAGTCGCAGTTGAGCAGGAGGACGAGGAGGACGAGGAGGAGGACGAGGAGGAGGACGACGAGGAGGAGGAGGAGGAGGACGAGGAGGACGAGGAGGAGAGGAGGAGGAGGAGGACGAGGCAGGAGGAGGCAACTGACATAAAATCTAACAACCCTCACCTGGCAGGTGGGGAAAAACATCATCACCTCAAGCACAGCCAGCTTGGGGCAGCAAACATGTGGGTGTTCCACATGTTTGGCGAACTGAACTTGAATTTCCAACTGACCAGAATGAACAAAACGTTGACCGAGACCTACATATGCCGAGATTTAGCCGGAAACTCATGTTCATTTCAAGGTCTGGTTTGTTGACTTTTAGGGGTGACCGAGTAATCCACTATAATGGGATGTAATGGGATAGAATGGGATATATGGGATATACATCTATACATGGATATAATGGGTAAGGAGTGGGATATCATCGGTTGCCTAACCTCCAAAGCTGGGATAGACAAAAGTTGGGATAGATCCTTTACAACTATGGTGACTATGGTCGCATAGTACCCACTTTTTAATGGAACTGCACCACCAAGTATAGCTGGAAAAAAAACATAAACTGGAACCAATAGGAAATATTACCTAACACAACATAGTCCATTTGCTTTTCAAGGGCATCTTCCAAATCAACTTCTTCATGTTGATTGGCCTTGAGGCCCTTGAATTTTGACTCCTTGAAGAGGTCGCCTCCGAACACTTCAATCTCAGAATCTGAAGCTGAACTGGGCTCAACTGGCTTAAGCTTAGGCTTAACCTGTTCCTTCGTCTGCGCATCAGCAGCGAAAAGAGCATGGGCTTTCTGGGATTCCTTCAGCTGGTTCAGCAGCCCGTGCAGCCCGTGCTCGTTTCTCTCTTTCTTCTCATCTTCATCATTTGCATCAACCACAACAACATCTTGTAGGGCTGAAGATTTCGTCTGTGGCCGGGCCTCAGAACGACCAGCTGATGTTTGTCACTCACAAGTCACCTGTTGCCTTCTTGAACTTAGTATGAAGACCATTGGATTGTAGATGATCTCAAGTCATTTGATTGATAAATAACAAGATGAAGCCCACGAACCCGAATGCTCACACGTATGTTAATGATACCGATGTCAAAACACATGGTTATGCAATCACGCACAATACCTTTCTGCAATAGTTTATTTGAACAGTCTTGTACATGTTTCCCTTGTTACCAGTCTGCAGACGATTCAATATGGATTGCCAGCCTTTGTGCAAAGAGTTCCTCAGTCAGCAAACCCCCATCACGCAAGTACAGCATGGCCAGAGGTGAAGCAAAGCAAAGCACATTCATTAAACACTTAGTGACTTAGTACCTTTAATCTGGGTAAATTGTAATATTTCACTAACCTGAATCTTGCGGCCATTTTGGCATGATTCCCCTTACGAACTATGATTTCCAGGGCTCGGTCGTAGTGAGGTCGTGATGAAATTTACCCAGCTATAATGTATACCAATCAGCTAAAATGTTACTATCCCAGCAATGTGGCAAAACATGGCAAAACCAATAGGAAACCATCCTCAATGGGATGATGGAAATTCCATGATCAAAAAGTATCCCGTATTTGTTGGTGAATGGGATGGTTTATGACATTGGGTTCACCACATTAACATACATTAACCATGGTATTACCCATTTAGTTTCATGATTTGGGGATGGGTCAAAACCCTGGCACCTAGTGAACATCAAAATAGCTGGTAAATGGATGTTCATCCCACTAAAAATGGTATGTATAGGTATTGATCCATAGCCATTGAGTTTCATGATTTACCTCTAAATAGTGGTGATGTCTGCAACCTCGCAACCAGTAGATGGTACAAAGCCTACCTAAGTCCCATTTACGAGGCTTTCTGGCTTTGGAGAACCAAAGTGGTCGGCGTTCACATGGGACCCCCTGCGCTCAACAGTCAAAGGTGGAACTTATCTGATGGCTATTTGGGGGTATCCGGGCATCCAGCCTAAACTCAACATGGAACCCAAATTATTGATGGTGATATCCAATAACACTTTTTAATAAGGTTCATTCATTTCCCAGACCCCTTTGAACTGGGGTCCATGTGAAATGTAAGGCGACTTAATGGGCGTATAATTCATAGTATTGGGTCGGTTTGTCTAAAAATGATTGATTATAATATGTCTAAAATATAAACGTTACATATTTGTCTAAAGTCTCCAACTCTCATTTTAGGCAATTTTCCATTGGGATTGCAATGGAAATCCATGGGATACCACGACGGGCCGGGAGCCCGAGCCAAACTTCCAGTGGCAACGGACGGATCAGTCTGGGCAAAAAAAAGGTCATGGAGCCGATGGTTAAATGGGTCTTGTTACCAGAAAATATTGATGTTATAAGGGGAAACCTATACATGTTAGGTCATATAATGGGAAACCTTAATCTGTGACATGTTAAAATTATGATCATGATATGTTTAATTTTGGAAACCTAAAGATCATGGGAATATGTGGTAAAAAACAGGCTATTGGTACATATACAGTAGCTCTTGATTCCCAATACTCAAACCATACATGCTGTTATTCAGAGGGGGGGTCCTACTCGCCATTTTATAAATATAAAATGTGGGGCTGGGCCCCCGACATGTCTATATTTCAAGGGGACCCTCTAAAATCTATAATTTGAACGGGGGTTTACCCTCTCAGAAACATTGAATTTTAAGGCATGCCATCTATAAAATGCAAGGCATTGAGGTCACGGTCACATATTTCTCACTGCTGGTATGGCACCAGGATCCACCAGGCATGTTTCATCATGGCGTCGTGGCACAAGAAATGACATCGTCACACCCCAAAAAAACCTGTTATGCCGAGTCTGGAGCTCTGCATTTTATATAGGGATATCATGGCATATATATATATATATTATATAATATCAAAGCTACTTCTATTGTTCAAGCTCCATCCAACTGCTCTTGCGTCTCTGTTCTGTCATTTATCCATGTTTTTCTTCTACCCTCTGGTAACTTTCGACACAAACATCACCATGTTTTGCAGGTAAATCATCAGACTAAATTGGCCACAAAATTAGCTATGTCGAATCACCAAAGGATATTCACCGTCCATTTCTATGACCCCGGTTGTAACTCGATTAATCCAACCCCACTCTTCATTGGGGTGAACTAACCCACTTGCTGTCTTAAATCCTATTTTTTCATGGTTACCCGCTGGGAATCAAACATGGCAATAGAAAATCAATCATTATATTCTCTACGACTATATATACATGTCCCATGATACAACCATTGTTGTTGGGTAAATCATCACCGTTGACGTTTCAATCACAATTTTTGTTATTTAAGTGTTCAGATCCATTTGGATCGTTATTTGTAGATCTTTTCGTTCCGATCCAGCAGAAACCATTGCTAGCTAAATCTGACTTAAATCCCAATGTTTGACGGTAAAGCCCTAGATTTATATAGATTTATGATATATTTCCATTATATTCTCCATTTTTATCCATTAGATTCCTCATTGTTGCTGGTTAAATGACAATTCTTGTTGATTAAAACTCAATGTTTGTCAATTGCTCCAAAAAACCTCCATGATTTTCACAGCCAGCACCATCAATTTTTGGGTACTGAACCCCCCCATTCAATCCCTATATCACCAGTCTCTCACCGCAACCGGTTGGGCCACCCTTCCGCCTGCCCAGGCTGCGTGTACTGCACTTGTGACGTCGCAGCCTGTGGGACCTGAAGTCAGCAGTGAGACTTGCTGACTTCGGATCCTTTCGGTGGGACATGACATGAAATTCATACTTAAAAATTTAAATGCTGGTATATAGTGGAAGTAAACCGAATCAAAATTATTAATCCAACATGGTCATTGAACCAAGCATATACTGTAATGGAATCACAATAGCAAACAATTGGGGTTTAATGGGATTGTACTGGGGTATAGCAAACTGCTGGCGCAGTTGTTGATGCAATTGCTCGACTGTTGTCTCATCAGTTGGAAGTTGGCGATCAAACAAGTTATGCGTGACAAAGGCGACAACCAAAGTGCCACAAAATTGCTTGACAAAACCCTGTCTGGTGCACGCCAAAGTGAACATGCATTTCCCAAGAGCTTGACACAAGAGGCCATGAAAGGGTGCGTGCCAAATGAACCCTCCAACTTGGTTGGCACAAACTTAGCAGCAAACTGGGATCCTCCAATGTTCATCGACCAAGACTGCAGAGAAACAATAGCCAATCACTGACATGTTCCAACTTGCCAGCTTTCAGCCAGCTGTGTGCAAGGAGTGGATCAAGCAAAGCAACATCTTGCCCCCCTGACTGATTGATGAGTGCCATTGAGTGCCATGATGTCAAACAACAATGGATAATGGAAATATCGAAGCAATGTTATTATTATCCATTATCCATGTATCAAAATGTATCAAAATGTATCAGAATGTATCAAACATGCTTGGCTGGGAATTGCGCTACGTAGAGGCTGGAGGTTTCTGAGTGGAACAATTTTTTTCATCCCGAAGCAAAGCGGTTCGAAATGTCCGTTGCCATGTTTGAATACCAGAGGGTATATCATCCCAGAATTGCATGATGTGAAAACATGAATCCGGAAAGCCCTACATTTCAATTTATATACCCTCCAGTAATCAAACATAGCAGTTGGAAATCCTCTACAAGGGGCTATCCATATATCACCCAACTTAGAGGGCATGGTCAATGCCCGAGCAGGGATTGCACGCACTGCGAAGCAACATGGTTGGGACAATCATGATTTCCCTCTCCAGGATGTTGGTAAAAATTAAACGACTCCCCTATTGAGAAAGTGCCATTGCGCACACTTCTGTGAACCATTCAAAGTACGTAGAAAGTTTGTTGTCAATCTACCTGGTTTGTTGAAGATTCTTATAGCTTATAATGCAGATATCTAGCCAAACCAACATGTTATTTCATGGGATGGATGGATGGGATAGGTTGTACGCTTAGCCTCCAACTAACAGTCAATAAAGATCAATTTTTCTGACCACCACCTGTACAATCCCAGACGGGTTGATCTAAAACCACCCAAACAACGACTGGAACAAATCAGATAATCATCATGTGTTCCTTCATCAAAAACACCGTCACTTTGGGGGTATACCCCAGGTTTTGACACATCCATATGTTCCATGGTCTTTCCGGTCAAAAAATTGGGATCCCTCCCAATGGTTTTGGGATGTTTTGGGTTAAAAGCCTGTATCTTGCTGTTCACAGCAAAGTAGCTGGTGTCTGTGGATGTTCACCCCCCACTTTTATGGAAAAAGTACAGATATTGACTCATAGCCAATTTGATGCTACTAAATCAGTGGTACCCTCTGGTAAACTAACATAACTATGGAAAATCACCATTTTTAATGGGAAAACTCACTATAAATTGCCATTTTCAATAGCTATGTTAAATTACCAGAGGGTATGGTCCCACTGTTCCAGACTGTTCCAATTTCCAATGATCATTCCATTCTCCACCCGTATCCACCCCTCCCCCCTCCGACGAAAACTGGCCTGGCTTTGAGCTCCTTGGTAGCTTCCATAGGCGACCACCTCGGAGGCCCCCACGGCCGCCCCGGCTAAGCCGAGAAAGGGATTTCTTTTGGTGCTAACCAATCCCAAAAAATGACAAGTTCCAAAAAGCAATAGAAGCTATAGAAAGAACTGGATGATAACTTGATACTATAACCATCTATAGCCTAGCCTATAATCAAGTAGGATCATCATCCCATGTCATCCCACGGAGAAAAAAAACATCCGGTCATGTCCGGGCCAACTCCATCTCTTCCTCGTTACCTCATTTTGGCACAGTTCACCACAATCCTTTGTTTCTGATTAATTAGAGGAGCTGGATTTTAGATGGGCAAAATACATTGGCTACTCCTACAATCTGGTGTGCCCATAGTTCTGATTTGGTTTATAACCGCCACTAACTAAAGGTACAACAGTATATTACTATACCACAAACCCGAGTTAGCCTACGTAGTTATAAAATGTTCTAAGCCCATTTAGCCAACTACCATGGGGCACCACTTTTTTGCGACCCATCACAAAAAATCAACAGATACTTTATTATCCTTCACCTGTGCCAATAAATCGGCAAATCTCCCTTGGTTAAAGCGGTTTGATCCCCAATGTTTTGCACCAAAATCACTATTTCCTTGGGCGCAAAAATAACTATAGCAAAGAAACACGCACACACACACACATTATGGCCATTTTTAGATACCCGATATTCCGCTTTAAGCAAGAATATTCCCATCTACGGGGAAAATCCAACAAGTATATCCCCAAATGAAATAAGGCCATTTAAAGATAATTACTATGACTATGACCCTTATTAACCATGATTCCAGTGAGGTCACGACGTGAGGTGACTATAATTTACCAAGGACACATACGGAGGTTTTCGAAAATAGGGCTACCCCAAACCATCAATTTTAAGAGGATATTCCATGAAATAAACCTTCCAGGTATTGGGGTACCCCCATGACTTAGGAAACATCCATATGATATGGGAATATATGGGATAGGATTATTGGGAATGGAATATATTCATATATATATATATATTCTGAAGATCCATTGGATTATCGTCATATTCCCTACTAAAATATCCAAATGTTCCTTATGTTTTTGGTGGGAAAGCTGCGGCTCGCCCTCACTGGGCTGGCCCCCACTCCGGAGGCGCTAGTGCTGGGCTGCTGCAAGTAGTTGTATGGACCTGAATGAGCCACACTGATGGGTCCCGGATCTATAGATGTTGTGCACAAAATAACAATGGAAAACCCAGGCAGATTCATGAAATATCCCGAGTTAGTACTACTTGATCATCCAACTTGTAGTAAGTGTTTAGTAACTGGGTTATAATCTATTGATAAATGGGATAATCCACTGACTTCTGAATGGGGATTTACTACAGGTAAATCCCAACACTAAGTGGGATGATCCTCCAAGTGATCACCAAAAGCCCATTAGATTGATGGAATATCCCCAGTTAAAGGTATATGGTTTGGAAACACCATTTGCCAACCGGGATTCCAAGAAGAAATGCTGATATGACCCCATGGGAAATTGGAGAACCATTTAGATGGTCTGTGGTTGCACCCCATTCCGAAAGAGTCAATTCATCAGTTGCATTTGTTTAAAGCAACATTATGCAACCACCAGTGAAAGTATGCACATTGCTTACGAATCTGAAATACTACTGTAAGCACTGAACACATCTAGTTTTCTTAGCTGGTTAGTCAATATGTCCTAAAGACTGTAGATTCTTGAAGTATCATGAAGTATCAAGGTAACTACCTATCCAGGGTTGACCCAAACATGAGTTAGATCATCCCACTAGAATATGAGCATCATCATTTACCAACCATAGTGGCCATGAAACCATTCCCAACTACCAACAACTTCAACCTCCATTTGCTCAACTATCGTGCTCTTGGTCATTCTTGGTCTTGGTCCGTTGATTTTTGTCATTCTAGCCCTGGTCATTGGGAGATCTTTTCAATTCAAATTTTGACGCGGCAAATTTGAGATCCGAGCTCTGCCCCAAGCCGTATCCCGCTGTCGCGTAAGCCTCGGAAGTGCGAAGGCGGTCCCAGTGATGGATTTCATGGGAGTAGCCAATCAAAATACGGACCTCACTTGATTTAACCATGAAAAATAAGGATGTCATGCGATTTTAGTGGGATTTAGCAACTTGAGACAATCATCAGAATGGTATAGTCCAAGCATCATTCCGTTTAGATTGAGATAATTATTAAAACAACATATGGTGATTCAACCATGAACATCATCATTTTGTTTGGGATTTGATAAGAAGAACAATGCGAGTAGAAATTCAAATAACTACCGATGGTGGGATGAAAACAGTGATATGGCTTCGATGGAATTGGTCATTGCATAACGCTGCTGTCCATTATACATCACCTCATCTGGTTGGTGGTTGAGCCACCCCATTTTTTCCATTCCTGCTGCTATGCCGTATTGGCATTTGGTTCTTGCTGTTTGTGCAGTCTAGGTCAACGGTTGGCAAGGATCACTTCAGCCGTGGTAGTCTGGCTGTACTGTACTGTGATCCATAAACTGCTGCTCCATGTAGACCTCGAATTCGTCCGGAAGCTGATCATCGACATTGGGATGGGCCAGTGCATGGGCAAAATCGTGCATGGCTCGACCGAGGATGTCGTTCAGCATCGGTGGATAGATCTTGGCCCTTGCAGTGGCAAATGATCCATCGTCTTGCTTTCCAATCAATGGTTGGTGAGCTCCCGCGGCATGTGGGCAGCGCCCCATGTTGCCCAATTGCAACAGGTTGCTGCGAACCTGTGGCATTCTTATGACCAACAACGTGGTCGGTTTTTTGGCAGATGCTCTGCACACGCATTGGTCGAAAGAGACCACACTGACACAGCGGAGGCGTTTCATGAGCTTCACTGCTTTGAGGCACCATATGCTGGTGAGGCTTCGGGTTCTTTCCCAAGTCGGGAATTGCGGGTGCTCAATGAATCCGCTGTATCCCATGAGCGCCATCAGCACCAACATTTCCAAGAGAAACCGCAACAATCGGTCTCCAATTTGGATCTGCTGCCACTCCCGCAATGTAAGGCCTGGGAGTCCTCTGGGTTCACTGGCAGACCTCACCGGTCTGGGACCCAAGCCATCCGCCTGTCTTGCGGCGGTGTAGGTCTCACATGGCGGGCCACCGCCAATGGAGGCAAGCTGTCCCGATAGTGCCCGCTGTTTCCACCAACGCAGGGAGGCATGCGTGGCTAAGTCAGCGTGTTGACGCTGCATGCATAAGTCCACCGAGAGAACAAAGACCTGTGTTCCATTGGTCATGCTGCGTTGCTCTACTACCTGGTGGATGTCCCTGTCTCGCCGGAAGCCGCTGAAGAAATGCACAACCACGAGTGCTCGGATGTGAAGGATAGCTGTCTCCCTTGCTAAACCTCCTTCTGTGAACGCGCCCCCTCCCTCATCGATACCGTGTGGTGACTGCAGGACGAAGGACGGAAGGTCAGCATCTTGCCACCACAAGCCAGTGTGGGTTGGGGGTGCCTCCTGGAGCTTGCGGCCCTGCAGCTGGTTGAATGCCACGGAGTCAGGTGGGCGACGTGCACTCATTTTGGCAAACATTTCCTGGCTTGCTTGGCTTCCTGCAGGTGGAAGGGCTGGTCCAGCAGTCTTGAGCGCCGGCAGGAACGCTTTTGCTGCCCACCAGCCCTGTTGTCGCAGTTGCACTTCATACTCACGATCGGCACGGTCGAGCTCCTCCACTTCATGCTCAGGCATGGGAGGCCAGCAAGCTTGGATCACGTCGTAGCACTTGGGATTGTGCTCCAGATGGATGGCAAGTCGGCCTCTGGTGTGGAACATCTGTCCACAGACTTGGCATGTGGCACCAGTTGCAAAATAGAGGACCTTTTTGCGATAGCCATGCTCGCGGCTGGCATGCATTGCCAGTGCCCTTGTGCTGGCAAAGACCTTGGAGCATAGGTCACATTGCCATCTCTCCGGCGATTGGAAAGGGACCGGATCGGCCGGGAGGGTGGCCCCTGCCTGTGCCAGGGTAGCTTCCAAATTGTGCTGCCAGATGAGGTGCTCGGCTTGGGCCATGTGGTATTGCAACGCTAGGTGGCCGGCCTTCTTGACGCGACCTTTCCATTGCGTGTCCATGCAAATGTGCTGTATCCAGGTCAGCGTGTCATCACCTGTGGGCAGCCTCTGAGGCCGATCATAGTGTGTTCGCATCCATGTACATGAGGCATGAAAGGAGGTCAACCATGATTTGGGACTAGTATCGGCTAAGAGCAGGCTCCAGGTGATGGCTGGACATCGCATGAACAACCTCTTTGCAAAGCGGAGGCGGTTCATGTGGACCTGTTGAGGCAGGGGGAGCATACCGCACCATGCACAGAGTGTGTCTGTCGTGTGGCGAAACTTGCGCTGGGGGGCAAGCACACCTTTCATCAGCAAGGCAATTGGTCCTCTGAGATGGTTGTTCCAGGTTTCAAGCTCTTCAGGTTTGATACCTGCCCAGGTGTGGACGTTGTACAACATCTTCGACATGACCAGTGCCTGGAATACCCGTGCTTTGGTGGCAAGGGCCAGGTTTCGGCGGAAGAATGGGCGTGCTAGTTGACCCCACTGCTGCTTGGCTGCGCTGGCTCGGGACAGGACTTCTTTGGCATGCCTGGATTTGGTCTGTAGCCAGGTGCCTAGATGTCGGTAGGTGTGGCATGTGTGCACAGCGTACTGTGCGTCAGCCGTTTCCCACTTCAGCTGGTTGTGGTTGAGGCACAGCTGTTCCTTGTAGATTTTGGCTCCTTTGCCAATCACGTTCCATAGTAACTCCGTCTTGCCTTTGTCGAAGTTGACTTGGAGGCCACGTGTGGCGGCTGCGACCGTGAAGGAACCCACCAAGGTCTTGATGATTTCTTCTATGCGGTGGTTGGTTGGAGCATGGACCATGATGGCACAATCGTCAACAAACGTGACGTCCACATATCCCTCACGCGGAATGGTTGGAGGTGTGGCCCCAAAGTCTTGGATCAATGCCTCACGTCCTAACCAAGGTGCATCGCATTGGGCGGCAAAGTGTTCCCTAAAACTGGCCAACAACCTGGTCATACACATGTTAAAGAGAACGTCAGCCACGGGGTCACCCGGTCGGGTACCCCGTGTTGTGCGGCGCGGGTCTTGCAGCGATGGGATTGTGAAGAATGTGTTGGTCATCATGTCGTGCAACACCTTTTGCATATGTGTGGAGAGGCCTTCAGTGATGCATTCCTTCTCGGCAGCTTCAATCAGACCAATGATGGTTTCCAGCGGAAGTCCAAGTGTGGACATTGCATGGATGAAAGCCTGATTGTTGCACCGCAACGTGGTGAATGATTGCCGGAGGACGGTGTAAAAGGCCGACCTGAGATCAATGAACAGGATTGCCGACGGAATCGAGTGCGCAGAGGCCCAGCATTGATGGCTCTGGACGACATGGTGGGCAACGTCGACACCGACTCCTCGGCGACCACCACATTGGAGTGAGTCAGCCTGCTTTTCCCAAAGGTCTACGAGGTGCTGCCGAATGAATTGGTGGTATAACTTCGTGTTATAATTGGACACGAAGATGCTTCGGTAAGCTTGAGGCAATTCTGGAGGGGCCTTTCCTTTCCAGAGCGGTATCAACGTACCGCCCTTCCAGAGCAGCGGCTCTTTGGCATTGGCCGCAGCCTTGAGGTACATGACAGTGAGGTGTCTTGCCATGACCTCACCTCCAGCTTTGAGGAGTGCAGGGGGGATGTTGTTCGGCCCGGGGACCTTGTCACGTTTCAACTGAGTAAGAAGTACCTGCACTGTCCATGCTGTGGGAAAGGCTGCAGGGTCAATGTCTTGGGGGGTGACCTGGGTAGATTGGGCATCCTGGTGATGGTAGGCTTGAATGTCGGACCAGCTACAGGGCACACCAGCCTCGATGGCAGCAAATTGCTGCATCCATATGTGTTGTTGTTCCTCAAAGGTGGTGGCGTAGGTGTGGTCTGGGCGCTGGAGCATGGGGAGGGGCTTGGGGCCGGATGGCGCGCCTCCCTTCTTTCTGCCAAGCCTATTCAACAGCCGGTAAACAAGCCGGTGATTATGCATCTCGCCAGCATTGTCTAACCGCTCGAGGAGGCCATCATAGTAGGCTTGCACATCACGCCGGACCATCTTATGGACGATTTTTTCAAGTTGTTTGAGTTCATCACGGAATGGCTGGTGTGCTAAGACCTGCCGTAGTCTAAGGCTTGGCGCTTGAGGGCAATGATGTTCAGTGTGTCGGCTTGCAGCTGGATCTTATGCGATCTTGTCGGTTGCTGGGCAAAGAACTGTTGCCCCATTTGCAAAATTTGTGCCTCCTGGATGGCAGCATGGTCATCCACAGTAACTGGCCACTGTGGGATGGGAAGGGTGGTAAGGGCTCTTTGGAATGCCATGCAGCGGTCAGGGTCCAGCAACAGTTCATCATCCCAACGAATTTTGGGGGTACGTGGGGATGTATTGTGCCACCCTTTGCATGTGAGCATGACGGGCAAGTGATCATCGTGTGAAAAGGTGTTGTCGTGGTGAATGTCAACTTGGCTGGCGTTCACAAGTGGCATCATTGTGACTGGAATGGCCACATAGTCCTTTCGGCTGCGCTTACCTGTTGCATGCGTCCATGTGGCTGTGGGGCCAGAATGGATGTGGGAAAAGGTGCATGGAAGGGCAAGATTATGTGCAACTAAGAACTGCAAAAATGCGGCACCAGCTTTGCTGGGCAGTTCCGCTCCATGCGGCCCGGTGTGGGGGTCATGGGCTTCCGAAATGGGAGCATTGGCATCAAGCATGACCCAGCATCGGTCTGATTGCACATTTTGAGTCCAAATGGTGCTTGTCTCTTTCCACCATGCAGTGGTTGCCTCTTCTCTTGGCATTCCTTCAGCAGAGCTGGTGTTGGACCCAGCAGCTTGGCAGGGCGCATGTAAGACCACAAAAGTATATTGAAAATTGCCAACTGCAGCCACCGCGATGAGACGTCTAGGATCTGCATGCTGGATGGTGACCTGCGCATCTCCTAAGACAATAGGTTTACCGGCATTGTGATGGGCTATGGGGTGAGTTTTGTGCAGCCACAATTCACAACCATAGAGCGGCGCACGCGCAATGGTGGCCCCTGAAGAAAAAATCCGATAATGGGGAGAATGAAACTGGCCTTGTACAGTGCGAGCTTCTTGCACACCAATGACATGAGCTCCATGTTTATGCCACTGCTGGTCCAGGCGGATGGTGCGTTGGCCTGTGCGTCTGGACCCTTGACCCTGTTGGGCCCAGATCTCTGCAGCAAGCACGTTTGCTGAGATCACTGTCATAGACCATTGGACACAGTCAGGTTTTACATCTGCGTGCCTGCTGTGCTCAATGGGGGTGGTTGGCACCTGGCGGTCAGGGGCTTGGAACTGCATAACCTGCTGGTTAATGAGGTTTGGGAAGCATGCACTCATCGCAGGGTGGGTTGTTTGCATCCATGCCCATGCAACATCATGCTCATGACTGGCAAACTCGTGAAGTGCCTGCAGTTGCGGTGTGGCATCATCAACGCCATTGACGAGTGCCCATTTGGCAACGGCATCGGCCAACTCATTCCATGCAAACCCCTGATGTCCACGAATCTCCCAGAAGCTAACCTTGGAGGCAAGCCACAACCCTTGGATGCGACATACCTGGGCCAATCGGGGATTGGATCTGCAGGTCGTCATGGCACTGGCAACTGTGCGGCTTAATGAGAGATCGGGACGAATGCAAATGTGCTGGTCTTCATGTGGCCATCGAAGCGCAACAGTTTGTGCGATTGCAAGAGCAGTGAGCTCGGCCGCAATGTTATCCATTTCTGTGGCTCCTATCCAAGCTGGGTGATCCGGAGCAATCTGGACGCAACCATATGTACACCCGACAAACGCCTCTCCCATGGGCAGGTTTGACGTGGCGATGACACTCCACGCTGCATGGGTGCCATTGGCAGCACCATCAATATATAGGGTGACATGATGCATTGGGTTTTCAGGCTCCATAGGTTCCACGAGTGGCCAATAGCAAACATCCGGTATTTTCAGGCCCGCTGGCAGTGCATGAAGGTTGCAGGGCGGGGCTCGTGCCAGATGATAGAGCCATGCTTCATTTGTGAACCACAACAGTTGTGGGCAAGTATCATCGAGCTGTGCGGTCTCTTGAGTGGCAGGCACCACAGCATCCAAGTAGATAGTCACCCTGGCTGCATTTCGGGCAGTGATGGAGTGCTGGACAGGAATTGCACGTGATGGTCCCTCAATGTCGGCCTCAAAGGGGCTCCTGGTGCTGCGGTGTACTTGTAAGTCCCAGCCGGTGTCATTCTGCTGAACTGGGAGCAAATGTCGGTGGACAGCAAGAACAAGAGAATGGCCATTGATGACCTCCCTCTCTTGATGAGGAAGGAGTTCAATGTCACCTACCCACGCAGCGCAATCAACAAGGGGGTTGTTGCAAACAGCATCACGATATGCAAGGGCGACAAGGGTGCTGAAGGCCAGCGGCGAGGGTGTGACGGATGCATGCTGTACAGGTGGTTCTGTCGGCAGGGCAGAGTCATAGCTGGAGATGAGCACTGATCTGAACCGTTCAATGGGTTGTTGGACCACTAGAATGTGCGCAGCAATATGTGGCGGCATCTCTGGTGGTGGTGGTTGGACGATATGAACGTGCATTATGTGCTGGGGCACAATCAAATCGATCCAAACACTTCTTATCCTCTGCATCCAGTCTTCGGGGTTGTCGTTGAGCAAGACAAGTCTCGGCTGGAAGCATTGAGGAAAACGAATGTGGTCAATGTACCATGTGACAATGGGGGGCGGTGCAATTGTGAGGACAGCACTGATGCCTGAAAACACTTCTTCTGGCTCATTAAAAGCAAAGCGAAGAATACCTGAGTGCATGTTGCACGGCCGAAAGTCACACTGCAGTTGAAAACCATGCCTCACAATCATATCACGGGTGCAGATTCGTGCTGGAGCCGATTCTGCACGCTGGAAGATTCCAACTCTGGTACCTCCCAAGAAAACAGCAGTAAAATGGAGTGCAACTCGCTCGGGGGAAAAGCCTTGCTCCAGAATGATGTGGGCAACGGGGCCGCTCGAAGTTGGTGCGGTGGATTGGGTAGGACATTAAGAACTTTCATGGGCTCCAATCGATGGATCTGGTCAAACCAAGCGTTGCAAAGGTCGGCATACCACAATTCTTGAACGTTGTCCAGTTCCACGGTGCGAGGAGCATCGCATTCAGGGTGCGACAGGTGATGGACATACCATACCTCGACCTGCATGACTGGGCCCGTTTCCCTGTGGCGGACTGTGGCCAACTCTTCAAAAATGTTGGCCAGGTGGATACGCCATGCAGGTCTGGGTGCTTGCCCCGGTTGCTGATGTCCTTGCTGCACTTGGAGCCTGGTGGTGAAGACCGGTGGAGCGACCTCCTGGCTGGCTGAACATCGGAGTTGATTTGCCGGGACAGGTTGCGGCACGTTGACAACCTCTGTGGTGACATGGGCATTGCTTTCACCTGAGATTGGTACTCCTCCAAGGCAACGTGTGGTGTCAACCTTTGGCTCAGTACGGACGGGACCTGGCTCCAAGGGATCAGCTGCTTTTTCGGATCTGTTACTATCAGGTATCATGAGAGGCTTCTGTTTTTTGGCGAGCTTGAAAAAAATCATACAAGGTTCTTTTAACCTGTGGCATGGCGTCAGGCTTTACACCAGCATGATCGATCGGGCTGCGTCCAAAGAACCGGTGCAAGCTGGACTGTACACGGCGGTTTGGGGCATTTGGGACGGCCGGATGCAGCAGGAAATCGGATGCTTTGGACGGACGTGGCTTGTGGGAGACATCACTTCCGGGTGCATCATTTACATGGACCTCACTGTTCACTACTGGTTCATGTCCTGCCACATCATGTGCAACACCGGCAATGTGGGTGGGTAGCATATTGGAAGAGGCTGTGGCTGTGGCTGTGATCGGTCTTAAAGGGAAAGGCTGTTCCCCATCTGGGTGGTGGTCCAAAGCCAGCGCCCATGTCCACATAGAAGTTGGTCGGAAAATCCCGCGCCCGGTAGTCAAAAAAAATGATTACTGTGGGTAAAACAATTAATAAACCATAGTAAACCACCCATTTGGGAATGGTTTGTAGCACCTATTTGTGGTGATTTGGGGGATTGTTTCTTATTGTTCTACCCACATGAAAATCATCATTGTCCCCTGTTGGTTCATCCAGGTTTATCCATATATTCACCCCGCTTCGCGTGGGGTGGCCGCCCACACCGCAGGTTTATTTCGGTCCGTGAGAGGGGCTAAGGGTGGTTTTCCCCCGTGGGGGCTCCCCAAGCTAAGAATTTTCACTTTCCCCCCCGTGGGGGCTCCCCAAGCTAGGGAATTTTCACTTTTCCCCCCCGTGGGGGCTCCCCAAGCTAGGGAATTTTCACTTTTCCCCCCCGTGGGGGCTCCCCAAGCTAGGGAATTTTCACTTTTCCCCCCCGTGGGGGCTCCCCAAGCTAGGGAATTTTCACTTTTCCCCCCCGTGGGGGCTCCCCAAGCTAGGGAATTTTCACTTTTCCCCCCCGTGGGGGCTTCCCAAGCTAGGGAATTTTCACTTTTCCCCGCCGTGACAGCTTCCCAAGCTATGGAATTTTCACTTTTCCCTCCCTTGGAGGCTCTCCAAGCTGCGGAATTTCAAATAGCTAGACAACGACGCCTAGATAGTCCCCCAAATCCCGTGTTCTTTGAATGTGTTTCCATGTTTTTGCAATGGTTTCCTTCAAAGCACGGTACTTTACACTTTTGTCGCCATAAAACCGGTCGAAAACATCATGTTCGACAATGCTTCCAATTCCCTTATCTCCCCAACCGTTGAAAATACCGCTATTTACAGTGTTTTCTTCAATTTTTCCATGTTCCAATGCCGGTAGCCAACTCCAACATATATATAAGAAATCCTTCCAAAACATTGTTTTTGACAGTGTTTTTCCAATGTTTCCAGTCAAACAGAAGGTAATTTACACGTTTTTTGCCATAAAGGCAGTAAATCCTTCCAAAACATTGCTTTTGACAGTGTTTTTGTAATGTTTCCAGTCAAGCATACGGTAATTTACACGTTTTTTGCTATAACGTCAGTCCAAAACACTTGTTTTTGCAGTGTTTTCAATGCTCTGGCATCCAAAAACCCTGCAAAATCTTGCTATGTACAATGTTTTTTTTCATTTTTGGCCGTTTTTCCATTGCCGGAAAGCTACCAAAATGACCCAAAATTCCATTTCAATACCCTCTTGCGCTCAGACACCCAAAAATCCTCGAAAAATGTCGAAAACACCACCGTATTCTGGTCTCGGTGCGAAACCGTTTTTGGGGCCCCCCCCTCCCCCCAGCTAAAGCTGATATAGCGACTGCTATATTAACAAATGTCATTGAGCATTTAGTGTTGCTGTTTTGCCCCCCAATAAGCACGCCTTCACCGCCAAAGCGGTGTGGGCGGATTTGATGTTGAACTCCCGATTGTTACTGGTTGGTGGTATACCTACCCCTCTGAAAAATATTAGTCAGTTGGGGTTATATACTATTCCCATCTATTCCCAATATATGGAAAAATAAAATTCATGTTCCAAACCACCAACCAGGTTAGACGGTTCCAAAATCTCCACGTCGAATATTGCTTCCGTAGTGACCTGACACCCCGAGCACCCTGACAGTGGTCGGATTGGTCGGATAGGCCGTGGCGGGCTGTCCATACTGAGCCTCGGGGACGCCGGTCACGCTGGGATTATAAATCAGCGATAGATTTAAAGCCTACAAAAGTTACCTATCATTATACACTGGCCCATGTATAGATGATTATAAATCTGTGAAAGATTTAATGGTGCCTACATTAATGGCAAACTGGCCCTTTGTATTTAATATGTTCCTTTCAATTCTTTTCATGGTGCCTACTAAATTTATCCTAACATAGGTAAATCACTGAAATAGGTAAACTGGCACTCACAGCTGATGCCTGTCCAGCCGCAGACCTGGAGAACGGCGGTGGCGCAGTTGCAGGCCAACTGGAACCAGCTGGGCACGTTGTAGATGCCGCCGCAGCCGTTGCTGAGGTAGATGTAGCTGCTGCACAAGAAGGGCCCGAACATTGAATAGTACATAGCAGCCGCCCAAAAGGAGAGGGGCATCAAATCCTAATATATAACAGTTTTGGCAAATTACACCTTCCCAAAAAGAAGGAATCAAATTACCAGCTCAAGTCTCCAAGTGAAACGAGGCTGGCATTGCCCCTGCACTCCATGCAAAGGGCGGGGAAACGATAGCTAAGTTGGTGAACATAACTCCAATGACTCTGGTTTAAGACACTTATAACTATAGTTAATGGGAGTTATAACCCATTGCCGATCTTAGATACCTTGCAAAACAGGAATTGTTCGCTGGTGAACGTACATCGTCCTATTGAAACTGCAGCATATTCTTCAGGATTGAGCTCTACCCATCCAGCTGAAATAGTAATGATTATGGGAAGATGATATATGGAGGTTTCCTAAAATAGGGGTACCCCTAAATCATCCATTTTAGTAGTATTGTCCACTATAAATCATCCATTTTGGGGACCCCCAATTATGGAAACAGGTATATATGCTTACATTATATATATAATGTATATTATATATGTACATGTATAGATATACCAGATATATAGGCCAGATATTACACGATATTAGTGGGCCATCTCCCATTGGTCTTCTCACCCTGTAGAGATTCTCTGGGCCCTCCCACGCCATAGCCCGGCGGGGCTCCATAGCCAGTCTGGGCCTACACCGTCAAGCTGTGTTTCCCCATGGCTGTTTCTTGGTGCATAAACCCAATGAATACTATGGTGAAATGATGGTTAATCAAGATAATTGATAAATCATGGTTGAATAATGCATGTAAACCCTAATACTATATAAACAAAATATCAAACACCCTAGTTTAATTGGACTTATGTTCACCAACTTTGCGATGGTTTGGGGACACCACCTTCTAGTCCATATATGGTGATTAATTAGGATGTAATGGAATCTAAGGGTGAGTTAATGGGATTTAATGGGGATACAAGGGAATAGTAAGTGGAAATGAGCTCGGGGTTTCAGAGATGTTAACCACCAAAATAGGGAGATGATCAAAGATGTGTATATAATGGAGAATATGATATTAATATATGTATAAATGCATATTATGTGTAGGTATGAGGTACAAAAACCAATCACACATATCCAAAACTAACAAGATCATATCTCCAATACTCTTAATAAGTTCATCCCAGTAATCAGAAAATAATCCCATAGATTCTAATATATCATAATATATCATCTATATATATATACATGCATATAAGTTGGTTTCTAATCCTATTACAGTAACTATAATCCTATGCTCAGGATAAACCCAAGAGCTACAGTATTAGTTGGTGGTTTTGTTGCCATCTTGAAAAATATGAGTTCATCAATGGGAAGGATGACATCCCATATATGAAATGGACAATAAATTTCATGTTCCAAACCACCAACCAGGCAATTTATTGGCCATAAATCCAACTACAATCTGGTTATTTAACATAGCCATGGAAAGATCCACCATTTTTAAGAACGGTAAACCATCTATTTCTATGGGCCATGGCTTCCATGGCTATGTCAAATAACCAGAGGGTAATAACTATCATTAACCACTATCATTCACCATCATTAACCATTATAACCCATTGTAATCCCATGATAATCCATAGATCAACCATCATCAACATCATTAACCAACATTAACCATCATTCACCACCATTAACCATCATTAAACATTGGTTGGATATCTAACCACTTGTGAAATCCTGATCGAATCTCCAATCCTTCACCGCACCTGTGGTGGGTAGGCGCCCCCATATCCGCTGCTGGCTGTGGCGGCGGCGGTCTGATACGCCTGCTGCCTCAGGAAGGTCTTCGGCGTTTAAAGGAACCGTGGGTTTAAAGGATTTGCTTAAAAAGTTTAAGATGGGCTTAGAATTCTTATATGCATGTGTGTTTATGTGCCTTTTTCTGGGCATTTTTGGGTTTAAGATGGGTTTCAGATGGATAAAAACCATCATTTGGGTGCTGCATATTGACATTCTTGGGTTTAAAGATTGGTTTGAGATGCGTTAACATGGCTTTAAGATCCTTCTGAATGTGGGGTAACTCTTCTGGCATGGTGGATCCAAGATGCCATGCGTCTCCTTCTTGCTATCGAGTGGTGGACTTTTTGTGCTGGGAACAAAAAACTGGTCCATCTGTGGCCCGTGGCCCAACATATTTCCAATGCTTTGCATCGAAGCATGCCGTTGAGAAAGGACTTCTACAACCACCTGGTGAGTCTGTCTACAGATGCAGTCATCCGGTGGTTAGGATTGACTGGCAGGAAGCTTCTGCTTTTCCTGCGAATAGGACAGAAAACCACAAGTCTTCATCCTCAAGCCATCTATCAAATGGTTTTCCCTGGAAAATCCGTCTGCCTCACAAGGCCTCCTCGACTTCAATTGATATGCTTGGTGAGGAAGAGGTTATGTCTGTGGCATTGTTTTCCGAATAAGTACCAAAACGCTCCGTAGTTAAAGGGTCGGAACACTCCTGTCATCTGCACATGTTCTGGTATGTCACTGAGGATTTTTTACGGCACTGAGTCTATCGCATTACTAAACAACCCTCCATCCAACAAACCATTCTGTTAATCTGAAAGAGGGTCATCTGCGCATCATCACACTTATAAGGGTATGCCGTAAACATCCGTAAACCGTATATCCAATTGTATGAATCCTATTTGGAGATGGTTTGTGATTCTGGATCCCCAGAAAAAAAAAAACATTTTGTGTCTGATTCACGTTCCCTTTCTTGCTATTGGAAAATCCACATGGTTGATGGTTGCCATATTGGATGGGTAGATCTCACATTAAACCAATATACACATGTGGAAGTTGTATCCCTTTGTAGATCATTGTCCTAGGGTCTGCCCACGGGTTTTCCACATATTTGTAAACGTTTCATCTGGGATGGATCCCACATTAAACCACAACAGGATTTAGCTCCAGTAATTTGTTACATAGGAAACTGGAACATCATTTTTTTTGGGTAATCATCATGTTGATGATCTATAACTGGGCCATCTATACCATAGCTATCCTAGATAATCAAAGGGAAATCATCATACATTAAAAAATAAGTCAACATAAACCCATGATAACCAATTATACCTCCATGATTTGTTGCTTGAATAACCAAAGGTTAAACCACAGGATGAGACAATCACGACCTGAGAATTGCACCCGGCAGCATAGGCCGCCTGTTGCAGGGGTTCACGACAATGTTACCAGCCAGCAGGAATCTTTGGAAATCTAACGGTACCATCCGAGAATTGAGAATATTATGGGATTAATGATTGTTAGTGGAATATTAATATTACTAATCATGATTATTAATGGAATCATTGTCAATCTTTGGGATTAATCATGAATATTATGGGATTATTAATGGTATTCATGATTATTAATGGATCATAAGTGCCAATAATCCCCTCCCCCCTAATATTGAACACCCCCAAACGAAACCATGGTTAAGTAGAAGATTTGCACTTATTTGGGACCGAAAATCTACAATGAACTGAACCTATACCGTGGTCTATTTGAATTCCAACCATATCAAAATCTTGAAAAATGTACTTATCTAAAAAGCAAGGAGACTTGGTATGGATGTTTCTGAAACTTTGGTCCTGTTCTCACCATTGACCAGGAATGGCCAAAAACTTGGACGATGTCAACTCCTTAAGTCAAGTGGTTTGTTCCCCACTGCTCAATCATCATTTTCACTCTGAACTTGGCCATACATTGGAGGTAAACCATGCTAAACCTACTCACAGGGTGGTGACCTACCTCCAGTTATGTTTGTTGGTTCAAAACCTCCATTAATTAGGTATAAGTAAATAAATATGTAAATAAATAAAACATGTATATATATATATATTATACATATACATACATACATATATATATATATACACCATAAACCCTAGTTATTGAAGTTATGTTCACCAACTTAGCTAACAAAACCAGGGGCACCGGCCTGCACGACCCCTTCTGCACGGTGACTTTTTTGTCACGGGCCTGTTGCCCAGAGTACTGCCCTGCACTGTAGGCTGCCTGTGCCGGAGCCGGGGAGGGAATAAATCCTGCACCAGGCAGGGTAACTATTGGGATTCCTATGAAACACTGGAATTCTAATGGCAAAACATAAGACGTTTACCATCTACCAACTGGTGCAGGATTTTGCAACCATCCAGTTTCCCAACCATGGATGCAATCTATATTGTTGTAACCCACCAAAAACAATGCAAATAAGTTGTCGTTTGTTAGACATGTTTGAAAATATGGATTCTGAAAGCAAACAATTTGTCTTTTAGAATTGGATTTTACTCTTGTTATATTGTGTATTGTTTTTGCATCTTTTGAGGGCTTGTTAGAAAGGAAACCAGCAGGCTTCATATTCAAACCCTACTTATCTATCTTATCTAGGATTTCTTCATACTTGTTCATCTCTTTTATTTCTATAAACAGTCGATAAGTTTCAATTCACAGTCGAGAAACATTCATCGAGTCATCGGGAATCCCAGCCAGGCGTCTGTAGCTACTTACATGCTACCCAGATCAACAGTCAAGTGGTGTAGCAAATTCCGGGCTAATGACATTATATATAATATATAACATATAATATATAACATATAATATATATATAATATATATATATATATATGTATATTATATACATATACATATATATATATACATATATACTACATATTAGAGTATATTTACCCCATATACTCTCTGGGAATTTGTTACATAGCGGAAACACACAACTAAATAACGTTCGCTAAGCGCCATGGCTTCCATTATCAGAGATCCCAATGTTTGATGTTTAAATCCTGTTAAATTTATATGTTAATACACCACATATACCCTCTGGTAAACTAACAGTTTGCTATTGAAAATGGTGATTTATAGTTGATTTTCCCATTGAAAATGGTGATTTTCTATAGCTATGTTAAATTACCAGAGGGTACATATGCCCATGATAGTTCCAATTCTTCCTGGTTAAATCACCATTCTGTTTTGTTTCACATATCATCTCTCATGAAATGATGATTAAACCATGTTAAATCCCATTAATTCCACAATTGATCCTATGTGCAATCAATTATTCCCTTTGTACACCCACTATATTCCATTACAACCGCATTGTTTGGTACTTAAATTATAAATTTGTGGATAAATGACAAAACTTGTTGGCTACTTTCATTATATCATAGTAAAGTAAGAGTAAACCATCCCCCAATTTCACGATAAATGGTTGATATCAACCATGTTTAATTTCTTCACTAACATATCTAACATTAATGTCATTTAGCCTCCCATACTACTCCCATTAAATCACCATATCATCATCAATCTTTTGCTGCTTATGGTTATGTTCCATTTATAGCCAAAGAAACAATTAGTCGGATTAGTTTCTACCGATCCAGTCGGTTGGCAATGTCCATTGTACCCCCATTAAATCACCATATATATAATATATAGATATATATGGAGGTTTCCTAAAATAGGGATACCCCCAAATCATCCATTCATAGATGGGATTTTCCATGAAATAAACCATCCAGCTATTGGGGTACCCACCTTTTCCCAAACCTCGAAATTTTTCGGACACCCCAAGCCCAGGCGTCCGAACCGCTTGTTGACTCGACACATAAGGCTGCTGGCTGCCGTATGGCTGTTGACCTGGAGAGCTCTAAAAACAGCGAGATTTTAGGGTTGTTAACAACCCTAGATTTTGCAGTTTGTTGAATGGAAACTGGGAGTTTTAATATGTTTTAATGGGGGAATGAGAATAAAATGATGTTTCAAACTTTCAACCATGGGGGTTTCTTGATGCTGAAAATGAGGTTTCAAACACTAGGATGTTATGGGTTTTGATGAGGAAAAGGAGGTTTTAAAAGGTATGGAAATTAGAGGTTTCAGTGGAGCGCTGCTTGTGACATCCAATGATTTAAACACATGATGTTCCACCATTAAAAAACATATAACACTAATTGAGGCAGATCCTATATACTTGGACAAATCCATTATATGTATATAGATGTATGTGGTATAGTATGAAAATAGCTAGATTTGTATATATATATATAATGTTGTAAGAGGATAGGATAATATCTGCCTTGCCAGCACCCCTATGTTATATGTAAAGTTGCGGGTCGTGGGGGGGCGCTGACCGTATATATATATATATATTATATATATATATATATACATCTGGGTAAATTATAACGACCTCACTACGACCTCACTGGAAATCATAGTTCGTAAGGGGAATCAACCCAAAATGGCCGCAAGATTCAGGTGAGTGAAATATTATCATTTACCCAGAATACATATAATACATATATATATACATACATTATACATTAATATATACATTAATATACAATTAAAACATAGATAATAGCCAGATAAATCCTAATAACTCTCAGTTTTCGTTGCTTAAATCATCGTTTTGCTAAGCGTGGTAAGCCACCTGCCCCCACCAGGCGTCACACCCACGTAGCTCTGGGCGGATTGCGGGGGATAGCCTCCGCGGTTTCTCAACGGAATGGATCAACCCGGAGGCTTCAAGTGGTTTCACTCCGAAAATCTGATGGTCTTACATTAAAAAAAAGAGATTCAAACCCTGGGGATAATAAGGTTGAAAGATAATAAGAGGGGATAATATGATGGTCTTACCATCAGACATTGAGATTCAACTAGGGAAAAAAGGGGATGATAAGGTTGAAAGAACTTTTTTGGGGGTTTCAAACCCTCTGAAACATGTTTGTCAGTTGGAATCATCGTTCCATTTCCAGGCTGAAAATAAAGAAATGCTTGAAACATCTTGAAACCAACAACTAGATACAACTAGATCAATGCATCATTCCTGCAGGGAGTTCAGCAACCACAAGTTGCACTACTACTTAAGCCACGAAAAAGTCAACCCTATCCCATGAAATACAGTATTGCTCGGTTGATAGGTGCCAATGTAAATATGTGTATCCCCCCAAAAAAATGCTTTACGGATATAGCCGCAATAACATCCGTAGCGGGAGACAGATCCGGCTGGTTGCGGGAGACAGATCCGATGCGGTTGTGGGATGATCCCAGCCTGCCCTAAGATCAAGCCTGATGATGCTCCAGCGATTAAACCAGCATGGCTTCTGTGCCTTGAAAAAATCACTCAACATCTGTCTATAATATATAAATATAATTAAATGAATATATATATATAATATATATATATAATATGTTTCCCATGTCAATATCGACTCAACCTGTCATTGGTAAGTCCAACTTGGGTGGCCAGTTTTTCTGGCTGCAGTTGACTTTGAATACCCATGTGATCATCCCCAAGATTTCTAATTTAAGGGTAACCCCGGTGAACTAAACGAATCATCAACAACCATATTGATAAATGGTGGTTAAATGATGGTTAAAGCCCATATAGATGGTTAAACCCATGGGCACAATAACTATTTAGCACAATATTGATATGATTGATGGGCTTTAACCATCATTTAGTACTCATTTTTATATCCCCATATTGTTGATGGTTAAAACCCATATAGATAATGGTCAAACCGTCATTAAAAAAAATAAATAACTATACTCATCAACTAACAGAGTTTAGCCGCCACAGCTCAAATGAGTAATTGGGAATTTGTGTGGTGCGTACAGAGCTGTGTCGGATGATCGGATTGAGTTATACTGTCAATTTGCGAGGAAACGTTTGGAAACCGCATCTTCGATTCAGTGGATTGGTTCAAGGGAACATCTACAGGAAACCATGGTTTTCTCCATGAAATAAAGGGTTTCCTGTAATCCTTCCCTTAAACCAATCCAATGAAATATAGAAAAACAACTGGTGGTTCTGTTGCTTTGTAAGCATGTATAATCGTGTATACATCCGTCATGCATACATTTCTTGACTAAAACTGACTGGATTCATCAACCATATCAGTCAGGTTAAGATCTACGCAATGCAGTTCGTGTTGGGCTTTACCAAGAAAACATACAATCTTTACCGGGATTGAAACATCTTAAAACCCCGTTTGCCACTAGCCAAGCTATGATACTTCACCGACCCTGAAAGATGCTGATGTCTGGGTGCTTCCCCATGAAACATCTTGTATTATGAGGTGTAAGAGTGAGTTTTGTACTACAAATTACTCAAGTCTTTTGGGAATTATGGGAAAATTATATACCAGTTTTCATGTGTGAAGCAGTATTTTGCCAGACAATCTTGTGCCAATTAGGCTCACACTGGTGCCAAAACAGGCAGGCAGCACAGTCTCTGACATCATATCTAGTTTCCTTCACAAGAAGAATACGCGTAGTTTAAGCAATCCTCAAGTCAAAGTTGCCGCAGCCGCCCCAGTTGTCGGGCGCCGCGGCTCCGCACCTAAGAAAAGTCTTCAAGCCACGCGTCATTTCTTCATTGACAACATAGCCATCGGACAGGGCGCTGCATATATCAGTAAACTTCCCATTATTGCTATTATTACTACATATTACTACTGTTATATATCAGTAAACCCAGACTCTGATCTCATATTGTTGTAGCCAACTTTAACACTATTATATTTGATTCCATTGATGGCGCTCCATGTTATTTCAATCTTCTCCCTGTAACAGCGAACGCGTCTAAAGACTAACCAAAAAAATGATCCCCATCCCATCTCAAGAAGCACTAGTTGGTTGATAATGTTGATAGCTTTCCCTACGATGGGTTAGCTCAGAATGCCCAGTAAATTGGGTGGTATAAGTCCCAAGAAATTTACCAATCACCATTTATCAATGATATCAACATATCTTAGTTATAATCCCAATATCATAACTCAACTAACATATGTTGACACTTAATTATGTAACTACATATATTCACTATAGTTAAGTGATACACTAACATATAATATCATACGATTCACTACAATTGACACGTATAACTCATAACTCCTAACCTTCAACCATTCCGCACCTGGCGCGTGATGAGCTGCCTCAGGCGGAAGAAACTTGAGGAACGGTGGGAGCCACTTAGTAAATGGCATTCTCCCGCAAGTAACAGGGTTGGTATTGTAATATATGGAATTTGTATTTAATTCAATATGAATGTAATTCAATACTTTTCTGGAATGATAATAAATGGAACTAGTAGTTTTTTCAAATGAATGGAAGATCCCCACTTACTCATGTGGGACTATATGGAATTATATCGCTTATATATAGCGTTTATATATATATATATCGCTTATATATAGCCTATACTATATATTTATAGCTTAATTATATATGCGTACATATATTTATTAATGGAATGTAAACCACTTACTAAGTGGCATGCACATCCCTACGTAACAGGCTTGCTCCAAAGACCCCAGGTACTTTTGGGTGGTAAATGGGCTATGAAGATTTCTATAATGGATTGGAGCAACCCCAGGATATAATGGGATATACTGGTTGAAAAGAACACGAATTTGGTTTATAATTCGAACATATCAGATTAAATGGCTGAATGGGATATACTGGGATATCATCGGATATAAGTTGATATGATATACTGGGACATAGTCGGGTTTCACCGATTCCCAATATCCCTTGATAAAAATATGCAACTGGCGATTTATCGGTGTTTTAACCAAACAAAAATGATGGGAATACCTGGATGTCATGGGATAACTTGACCTACACTATGGAAATCATCACGTTTGCCGGTAATTTCTTAGAGTTTGCTATTGAAGCCATGGCCATAGAAATAGTTGATTTACCCATTAAACATGTCGATTTTGCAAAGTTGTTTGTATGTTTACCAGAGGATGATAGGTAAACAGTCTATACACGGGCCATGCCTTCCACGGCTATGTTGAATCACCAACGCTTTTTTTGGGGGCTGACAACCTGGAGATATCCTCTGGTAAACTCACATAGATATGGAGAAGCCACTATTTGTAGATCACTTCCTAGGAAAACCAGTCATTTTCCACCGCTATGTTAGTTTACCCCATGGTATTTCTCCATGTTTTTTTGGCAAAAGTTATTCTATTTCACCAATATGCGCCTTTTTGGAGTTTGTGGGTCCAACCAAAATTAGGAAATCTTATCTTCTCATTATCACGTAACTATACATAACTTAGATTCATGTAAAATTAAATGTGATCAATTACAAACCATATCATTCTGAGTTGGGTATGTATCTTATTAATGTTCACTAATTATATTCCACTTTATCACCATAAAGAAGGGATCAAATTATATGGTAAACACTAAATTGATTGATATCCAGATAATTCCAGATATCTATTTAATCCCCTGAATATGAATCAAACTAGCCTCATGATTTATTGTGTTAGAAACAAAACGCTGGCTTGATAAACCCCGGACTCTTCATTTGGGGGTTACCCCCTAAAGATGTTTCAAAATTAATCATAATGATTGGTACCCTAGCAACAAATTGGTGGTTTACAAATCTTAACATTATTGCGCATACTCAGAGGATAGTCGGATAATCACAATTCGCACGTGGTTAGCAACCCTGGTGATTGTAAGTCCCCTAAGTAGGCTATCTATGTCTAATGTCTACCCTCCGGTAAACGTTTACATAACTATGGAAAACAGCAATGTTTAATGGGTAAATCAACTAGTTCGACTGGGCCATGGCTTCAATAGCAAACTGTAACAAATTACCAGAGGGTATATCATATGAACAATTCCATTAAGATCCCATAGTCCATTAAATCCCATTAAAGTCCATTAAATATGTATATTCCATGGTTAAACCACCATGGATTATTGACTTGAGTTGAACCACCATGGATCGTGAAAATCATCCGAAAAAAAAAACACACAACGTTGGGATGATGGAGTTAAACCCTAATGTTTGAAATCATCATGTCATCCCCATGTGGAAAAGCCAAAAACCTGGGATTGCAATCTAAGCAGTATACATCATACCAAGGCTCGGAGTAGGGGGATAACCCTCGATGTATATGTACATAATTATACATCTAGAAATGGATCATAATATATCCAATAAATATCATAATTATCATTTCTATATACAGAAATGGTCATTTCTAGACAATGGATCAGAATGATCATAGTTACCGATAACAGATCGACCAATGGGATGATCAAACATAGCCACAGAGTATCAGGGATAAAAAATGCCTTGATACTATGGGATAAGGGGAATAACAACTTTTTATTCACGGGATCATATGGGACGGGATAGTATCCATTAGTACACCATGATATGCGCACAGTACATCTTTGTACATCTTTGTACACCATATCAATATCAGGAAAAATACCCAATGTTTATAAGGTTTTATACTATAATAGTATCCTAGTCTGGTTGGTGGTTTCAACCCCTCTGAAAAATATTAGCCAGTTGGGATGATGACATTCCCAATATATGGAAAGTCATAAAATTCTATAAAATTCCATGGTTCCAAAGCACCAACCAGCTATTATAATAGTATCCTAGTATATATTACTAATAGTACTACCATAGTTTTATGCTGCTGATACCTCCTATTGAGCCCAGCCAAAGTAAAAAGGCCCAGGAGCCACTGCAGCTGCGTAGCCGGGAGCGCCAGGGTAGGCCTGAACCAGGATTTGACCCTGAAAAACGGTGGTTTTGTACGATGTTACCAACCAAAAATATGTTAAATATGGAGATCACAGAAAGAACAAAACGAAAAATATATAGTTTTAATCAGGAAAAGGTGTACTTAAACCAAGAAAAATATAGTGTTTTGATCAACGAGATGGTAGATGCATACATATTTGCTGTAACGACTTTGTGGATTTCACTAGACAAGCTGTGCATTTCATCATGTTTAAAAGAATAGATTCGACCAATTCATCCCTGGTGGTGAAGTTGGATTTCATGTCGGGAAACGTGGTGATGTTACATGATTTTGCCCTCTAGTAATCTAACATGGCTTGCTGGAAAATCCTTCATTTATAAGACACCTTCCCAGCTATAAACCTCCATGCCTAGTTCGGGGATTTTCCAGCTAGCCATGTTTGATGACACTGGAGGGTAGCCATCTTGTTACAAAGCATTGTTCAAGGTAAGATCGGTCATAGTCGCTATTACTTAGGCTATGGATATCTTTGGATCAATATTTTGAAACTTGATCCATACTCGACGCTTTCTTGAAGAATTTGACCGTAAAATCGAACTTTCGGTCTGCTCTCAACAGAACTAACTTAGGTCGAATATCGCAATGGGCAACAAGTCATCATTTTGACTGCGTACATACTTGGCGAAATATGGCAGTGTGTCAAAACCTTGTACCCCTGGTGAACATCAAAATAGCTGGTAAATGGATGTTCATCCCACTAAAAATGGTATTAATAGGTATTGATCCATAGCCAAATATGGCTAAATGATCGTGGCGAAGATCTAGAGAAATTGGACTCCTCACTGTCCACTGCATCCACTGCGCACCAGATCCCGTTTTGCCTTCCAGACCTTGTTGTTCTGTTTTGTGCTTTCAACCAATCTTAATGAACGTCAATTGGGCTCATTATTGATAGAAACTAAGGATTAAGATGATAAAGTACTTATAGAATCTTATAGATACTTATAATTGAAATCACCACTCAGTATATCATCCATGCGTGGTACATTTGTCAGCATAAACTCCCCCCAAATGTGCCTAAATGCACGTAATTAGATAGTCCATACACCAGTGAATTCACCGACGTAGTTATAAACTAACAAAAACTCACTTGGCGAATGGGGGAATCACCCAGTTAGTTATATCCCATGAACTATCCCCATCATATTGATGATGTCATCCCCTATGTTGTCTCCCGCTTATTGATGATCTCCTATCCCACTCATGTCTCTAGTATTGCTCCCATTCACATTCCACTATCATCCCAGTTTTTTCCCAGGAACTAGTCAGCAATTCACCAGAAACAGAGCCATTAACCATCAAAAACCATCAAAAACCCATGGTTGGTGAATGTCCCATTCATATCCATAAACTGCCATGGTGGGCATCATCATTTGCTGGTGAATTGGGCCCCACAAATAAAGGGTCATCCCCAGTGACACTTATAGGAAATAGTTAAGTGAATACGTGAATAAGTAACACATTCTATTGTGTTCTTACAGATAATATAGTTCATACTTGTTCATACCATCAAAGGACTATTTTCAGATTAGAGGAAAAGTATATTAACCCTTTGTTGGGCGGTTGCAGTGGTGCTGAAAAGAACCGCATCTTAATGGGGTAGACGGTACATCCCATGCTATATTCGCCTCTGAAGAATGACCATCCCAACTGATCACCCGGCGCCTGTTGTGATGCCTCTGCGCGGGCTTGTTGATGATTTGGCTGATTTTTGTTAGCTCTTGGATCTATAAAACTTCGTGGACCCGTGGATCCTTGATTATTGTTTGTAATTTGTAATCTACCTACAATTATACAATTCTAAATGTCTAAATGGAAAAACTTTTCCGGGAAAAACCACATGAATTGGGACTCTTCGTACAGAAGTATTAATATTTCTTACCACATGAATTGGGACATCAATTGTTCATTTGTGTCTAAAATTGGGGGACTCTTCCACTTCTGTGGTAAAAATTGTGGCGTTTCTTGGGCTGAAGCCGGGCCAATTGGCCACTTGGTTGGTTGAATCCTCCAAATCGCATCATAGAAATCTCTCAGATAACCATGAAACATACGGTATACCCTGTTGGACAAATCCATGGGGTCAATGTTGGTTAAGGTTGGTTAAGGTTGGTTAATGTTGGTTAATGTCTATTGTTTGTTTAACCCATTTGTTTACCAGTCCCAAAAACTTTGTTGCCACAGCCAGACATCCAGTCACAAATGTGCCCTCGCCCCCAGCCTGTGCGTAGCTGTTGATGTCGCGCAACAGGGGCCTAGTACCGCGCTTGGCTTGACCATAGGTATAGACGGTCAATGCAAATGTAGTTCTCAAACCCACATGGTATCTAGCTGAATTATATAAGTAGTAATTCACTAACCTGAAAATGGCTGAAAGAAAGCCAGTTGGGGATGATTCCCCCTTACTAACCATCATTCCAGTGACATCGTCACAGTGTGAGGTTTGTTTCCAGATTTTGCCAGGGGGGGAAGCCACTGGTGCGAGGAGAAACTCAATGTGAAAAACCACCCAACCAGGTTGGTAAACCCAATTGCAATGTTCATGTTCTATGAGTTGTAAAACACCCCAAACGGTATTATAAATATAGTTGACCTTGGTTTTGCTACAATAATTGGTTTACAAGCTGAATCATGCACGGACGAATCTTGCTTACCCCATTTGCAACCATGTGTTTGATCATAATTTTGATAGAGTTAGAACCTATTCCTATAGATGGCGAGGTTACGAAACGTAGGATAGACATGGATAGACCACCGAGTAGGGATAAGCCATGTGACGGAATAACTTGATATGGCCAGACGCACAATAGATCTTGGTATGTTATTTGAATTGCAGGCAAATACTATTTTTAGGGTGTCTTTTGCTAGGATGAGAAAACTATATAATTACTGTTGTTTGTTCCTCCCACTTTTTTGGAAAGCAAATAGAAATACCAACAACGAAAGCAAAATCTACATTGGTTTTCTTTGCCAAACTCAGACTCTTGGCTCAAGTAACTTGCCTTATGCCGCCCTGTAGCCTTTGAATCTGTTTCAAGGTCCAAAAGAGAATCTGTTCTAGGGTCCAAAAGAAAAAGAACCATGGCGTTCAGATTTGCTTAAGAAGTGCTCCCAAAAAGATGTCGATATGAATAATTATGCCAAACTAAACCTGCAAATCCCCGGCGCCACAACGTTTCCGATCTCTAAAACACTGCAGAGTTTCCTGAATTTGGCATGGCTCTTTGGTGAACGCGATATATCAGATATATCATATCAGCACCGAATGGTTTCAATACGTTTCGGGCCCTGTCCATCTTCCAAAAATGGCCACCTCGCGAAACTGAACGTTTCACATGGTGGCCCCGCATGGCCTCCAATCACCTTGCGGGACCAAATCAAACGCTTCCATAGGTCATCTCTGAACATGTTCCCATGGTGGCTGTCTATTGCCAGGTCGATGGATATGGGAATGACGTCACTTCCCCATGTGATCCATTGCGCCAAGTCTGCATAGCGCCTGTGTCCACTGAACATAATAAGAAAGTACTTTGTCCCGAGTGCCATGGGACGAGGGACCCACTCGTGACAAGGCTCCCAACTGTTGATGTCAGCAGGAAGGCTCCTTTCCAGGTCGATGGTGTCCTTGCTCACATGGAGTTTCATGTTCACCATTCCTCTCACTGTGAGCTCTCTGCCCCCTTCGCCAGGTGGTAGCAATCCGATTTGCTTCCATTCTGCCAATTCAATTTCTATCCGGATTATTGTATTGTGGAACCCGCATGGTTTTTTCTAAAATTTTGGCATACTCCCAAATGGCAATGTAAAAAGGGGGAAACGGATGACACGTAGGGGACGACCATGGCTCAACATCCCATAAAATATCATCATTAATCTTGATAAATTCTATCATAGTTTCCCTAATCTGAAATAAAACTATATTTGGATACCCACTGGTAAACTAACATAGCTATTGAACATGGCCATAGAAATAGTGGATTTTCCCAGCTATAAAATGGTGATGGATTCCATAGTTTTTTTGTATGTGTACCAGAGGGTAATTCCCAAAATCCTACCCATCATCCCCGGGCTCGGTCGCAGTGAGGTCACTACAATCTACTCAGAAATACTTTGTGGCCCGGTGGCCCCGATGAAATCTCCCAATTATATCGTTGTAGATTCCCCAAATGGATGAAGCAGTGGGAAAATATCACTATTCATGGTCCCAATATTCTCTTCAAAAATATCATGGTATATCCCATAATATTCCCTTCAAATATCATCATTAATAGTTTGTACCAGGTATATATTCCCAAAAAGATCATGACATATCCATAATATCATGGTATATCCATAACATTCCCTTCAAATTTCATTACTCCCAAAATATTCGCTTCATGGCCTCTACCCACTACCCTTTTAAAACCAGGCAGAGTGAGTCGGCTCTACTGAGCCGCCCCAACGGAGCAGCCGCCTGGACTTGGATCCCATCAGGTCATGATGAACCGATGAAGCCCCAACATGGGAAGCCCAAATATGAACCAATCCAGCACTAAACCACGTTTTTTTTGTTTGGTTTTATTTGGAAAGATGTATATATAACATTATATATATACAGTTACATATATGATATGTGTGTACCCAGCAAAAAAAGAATGTCTTGACCAGCAAAAACACATGTGTGTGATCCATGGTATGATTTATCTAATGTTCATTCCATTACATCATCATGCCTCTGAAGCAAAACACTCAAACATATATGATTTCACATCATCCCATGTAATTAGGCATTTTGCTTCTGGAAAATAGATACCCCTAAATCCACTGGTTGTTTTTCATGTTCCGTTTTGAATAACCGAAGGGTTGGGGGTACACCCCATTACACCCCATTTTCAGACACCCCCAAGTTCATGTGCCCATATTCCATATAGATAGCTGTTTTTATCCTTTGATTATTCCATTGTTATCTGATTAACGTGAAAAAGATCCTATTATATATGGTTATCCCATTGCTATCTATATGATTATCCTATTGTTATTTGATTGCTATTATATAGTCTATAGTCCCAGAAAGAAAAACAATATCCAATCAATCCTATATTAATGCATTAGAATCTATTTTGGATCTATTATTATATATGATGGTTTCCTGAAATAGGGGTGCCCGAAATCATCCAAGTCATTCGACCATTTTATACCATTTTAGTATTGAACCCCATCGTTTTGGGGTATCCCAATTTTAGGACACCTCCATATTTTTTTTGCCCCAGAGAATCCAACCCCAAAAAACCGCTGGGACCCCGTTCCGAGGGCAGTCCCGGCGCGTCCAACGCCGCCTCGGTGATTTCTCAATGGCAGCCGAGGACGGGATGGGGATTTCACCAACAACCATGGTTTATGAATTAGGGGGTATCCTCCAAATAGTCATTTATATGGTACATAAATGGTACCCTCCCAATTAAACAGCGGTAACGGGGTTTATTAATCCAGGGTTGACATTACCAATCACAAACAAAACCAAAACAATTGGGGTGTTTTGGGGTGTTAACTAACAAAAAAGAAAACAATTGGGGTGTTAACCAACAAGAAATGATATGCCCTCGCGTTTTTTCAAACGTGCTTTGCTGGCAAATCCCCCCATTTCTAGACGATGTGTCCTTCAAAACTTCAATTTAAAAAGATTTCCCGTTGCCATGTTTGACACAATAAATGGTTTGTAACCCATATGACTGGTGATATTTCCATTTAAACAGGCATACATCCGCCTGGAAAAGGTGGTGGTCGCCTAAAGTGGAGGACCCCATGGGACCTCATGGTTTTCTGATGTTTTGGAAAAACCAATGGTTTTTGGAGCCGGAAAAGCATAAGTTTTGGGCTGTGTTAATGAAATTCAAACCATCAATTTGTTTTCTAAAATTCAGACCAAAGTTTTAGAAGTGCTCGAAAACAAAACAGTGATGGCTCTGCTGCATTATAAATTATTGTTTCGACATGAAACATGATAAAATAATGTGGTAAACCCAAATGCCAAAAATCATTCCATGCATCAACCATAAGGGTTCATTTTACATCATACCAATTTTTAGGGGTATATACCCAATTTCCTTTTCCTCAAACTTGGGGATGGTTTATGGCAGAGCCTCAACGGGCAACACGGTCGTATCACACACCCCAATCCAGGTAGAAAAAATCCCCCTATCCACCATCATGTATCAATAATATCCCAATCTTTGGGATAAACCCTTAGTATATATATATAATATAATATATATATATATATAATATATAATATAATATAATATAATATAATATATAATATAAAATAA